GTGCTGGGGGCTCTTGCCTGACTCAGGACCGGTGTGCCGTGGCCATGTGCATACCAAGGCCCAGTCCGAGTCTAAGTGACCGGGCGTCTGAACAAAACCTACTTGGGGCTGGCCAGTTAGCTCGGTTGGTCAGAGCGTGGTGCTGGTAACACCAAGGTCCAGGGTCCCATCCCTGCACCGGCCAGCCGCCAAAAACAAAAAGACCAAATGAGAACTTTCATGGAGTTTGCAAGTCGACTCACTACTGCTTTTCCCAAAATGACCTTTACATGGTCTTCTTCAAGTGTCATATGTGGCTTTCATCACCAAGCTGCTGCCATTCTCCCACCTGGGCCTGAGCCGACCTGTCCACCTGCAGTGCCCCTCTGTCACCTGCGGCCACAGATGAGATAGCCATTGGTGTAAAGGAAGAGGTGCAGACCACTGCTGGCCGTTGGTGCCCACGCAGTGCCGGCCTGTCCCATGCCTGCCACTGCTGGTGCCTGGGCCACCCCCTGCAGTGCTATCTGGAGGGTGTACAGTGGGTGTGTCGGGGGCTTCCACTCCAGGGCAGCTGGGCGCCTTCGGTGGCAGCTGCTCCAGGGCCCCACTCTGCTGAGCACCCCAACTGGCCCCAGTTTTCTCTGTTGAGGCGAGGACCATGCATGCCTCTTGCATTTACAGTTGGAGGTGCCCAAGGCAGTGCAGTCCAGGTGAAGGATGGGGGCAGAGGGCAGGGCTTTGTGGAGGATTAACTCAGGAGGCTGAGTGGGCAGGGCCCCAGATGGGGTGGGGGAGAGGGCCCTCCTGGCCACCCTGGGGAGGGAGAAGCCGGCTGCTTGTGTCCTGCTTGCCTTGTGCAGAGCGTTCTCCTTGGCCTGTGCACAAGTTTAAGTCGGTTCCGTGCGTATCCGGAGTAAGCAGATCTGCCCTCCTCTGTGGAGGCTCCTGGGCACTCTGGTCCCTGCAGAGAAAGCGGTGGTCACGCTCACCTCCCGGCTCCCCACACTTTTCTCCTCAGCTGGCACATCCGTACCGAGCAATGGTCCTGAGGGCCATGGAGGCAATCCTGAGCAGTTGCCCCAGCGAGCTGGACAAGGACACAGCCAGCATCGTCATCCTCCTGGCATCCAGCGAGATGACCAGGACTAAGGTACCGAGCCCTCTGGTCATGCAGGCTTGGTCCTGGCTTTGCTGGGAAAGCTGCTGCCCCCTCCCACCATGGCTCTAATGCTTCTCCCACGGGTGCCAGGTTCCAGGCAGTGGCCCCTCTGGAGGGGAGGCCCCATGTGCAGCCTTCTCAGACCTGCACCTACGGGGGGCCCTGTAGACAGGGCAGCCTGTCCTTGGCTGGCTGTGACGCGGGGCAGAATGTCTCAATTTTGCCTCTTGGGAGATTTTTGGCAGAGGCTTTACCTCCTGGTGTTTGGGTGCAGGAATTGGTCTGTGACTGGCAGCAGGCAGCAAGCCATGTCCTTGTGGCCGTGGGGAAGCGCTACGTCAACCAGGTGATGGAGGAGGTGCTGAGCAAGCTCCAGCCCGGGGTTGTGCCCCACTGCTTTGTGGTGCGGACGCTCGCTGACCTCTCGCTTTCCAATGGTAGGTGGCAGCTGCCACACCTCCCCAGTGTTCTTGAGCAAGTCTGAGGCCTTGGAGGACTCGTGGCGGCCGCTGTGCTGGGCCTGACAGGCTTCTCTCTTGCAGCCTTCGGCACAGTCCCCTTCCTGCCATCCATCCTGAGCACCATGCTGCCCATGCTGGGCATGGCCAAGCACGACGCCGTGCGGGTGGCGTTCTGCCGCGGTAAGACGGGGGCTCTTATCCTTTTTCCTTTTGTCTCGCGCACCTCTTGTGGGAGCCATGCCTAAGAAGTGCCTGGTTTAGCGGGTGTGGGAAGGAGGGGCCAACTGTTAGGGGAGGCCAGGTGGTCCTGCACTTGGCACGTGTGGCCTCTGCCCTCTTATGGCTTCTCTGTGCTGCTGGGCAGACCCCGTGCCTCACATGGTGGGTTCATGGGACCTGGACATGCCTGGGAGTGGGAGGAGACTTTGCTTTTCTGCCCCCATCTCTTCCCTGCCCCAAGCTGGAAGAGAGGCCACTCACTGGGGTGTCTCAGAACGGAGGGGACGTTCACTCTCCTCCCCCAGCTCTGAAGAGCCATGTTCCTGATGGCCTATGTGTGCCTGGCAGGGAGGCCGCGGCATGTTGAGGGTGTGGACCTCGGTGGTTTCAGCTGCAGCAGGTGCTGTGGGGAGCTGGCTGTTGGGTACAGAGGGAGAGGGAGCAGAGGGCTGGCTTGGCAGGGGCTGGAGTTCCTGATAACCTCTCAGCTGTGGCCTTCGGCTTCCTCGTGTCCCTAGCACCCTACAACAGGAGACTGCTGGCTCTGGTACCTGGTGGGCGTGGGGCATGTCTGGGCTGTTTCAGGTCCCCAGAAGGATAGCACCCTCGTGCCCACGGGTCTCAGCCCCGTGTTAATCCAGCCCTCCTGGGTGGGGGCCTGTTAGGAGGTCCCTGGCCCCTTTCCCTGACAGCTGAAGAGTGGGAGGGGCATGGTTATGGGGGGCCGGGACTGATGCTCACCTGGGGGGCTGGTTTGGACCTTTGGACCCCAGCCCACTCTGCTGGTGGTGGCTTTGGGTCCAGTGCTGAGGCTCTCAGGGGCCTTGCTTCCCAGCGCAGCGGCAGAACCCTTGGAGGGGCTCAGCTCCCACCACCCCCTCCTCATGGCCCCCGTGCACACCAGTCTCCCTGCCCTGCCTCTTTTGTGCTTTTATTTGGGGTCTTCCTCTCGCAGGCTCCTTCCACATGTGGGTGGGGGCTTGACCTCATTTTGGCTGAAAATGGGATTTGCAACAGGACACTGGCAACGTGCAGGGAGAGTGGGGGACAGGCCTCATCTGGGCTGGAGGCAGCAGAGGCACCAAGGAGCAGGATGGCTGTGGGGCCATGCCTGTCTTGTCCCCCGCCACTCCTCGGGGCTCTTCTTGCAGCTGCTGCAGCTCTGAGCAGAAGTGACATGCAGTCCTGACAAGCTCTCGCTCCCTTCCATAGGACTCGAGTCTGCAGCTTCTCCCACACTGGCATTTTCTTTTGTGTGTGAAGCAGGCGGGTTCAGTGAGCAGTGTGGCCCAGGGCGCTATGTGCTGCTCACCCCAGACGGAATGTGCCAGTTTGCAGTGGGAGGAGACGCAGTCCTGCCG